TCTCTAGACAATTCTTTTCCACGCGCGCTCAGGGTTGGAAGGAACACGCACTAAAAATGCAACAGAATCAGTTATCAATGAGAATTCCACAGATTTCTCTCTACAATTATCCCGGCAAGAGATCTCAAACAGTGTGTGTGTGCGTGTGTGTGTAACCCTTGTAGTCACAGGGATTCGTTTGAATTGTTTTTACTCAGCAGGGGGCATGCGGCCATCATGCAAACGCATGCCAACGAAGCTATGCGTGATGGTGGAAGCCAGATCTGATCAACCTGGTGTACCTGCTTTTGAGAACCTACGTATGGCAAAAGCTGTCTCAGTCTTTGTTGTGCACTAAGCGGCTAACGCAGTGTTTTCTGCACGCACGTCGTCACCTTGTCGTTCGCTCGATCGATGTTTTCTTTTGGAGTTGCTGGCCACCTGCAACCTTCGGGACCTCTGCTAGCTGGACCCCCACTTCCTTTTAGGTTTCCTTACTTGTTCCCTTAGGAATTGGAACCCTAGGCCGGCGTGTGGCACCGCTTTCAGTTCAGTACACCCTATCCTAAGTGTGTTTGGCTTCGCGCCAACCCGGGATGAGCCCGCAGAGTGCCTCCCGTGGACCCGTTGAACGGGGGTACGTCGTTATCTCCCCTGCTTTGGAGATGTACGTGTCCGGAGCGGACAGCAGATGGCTTACGCCGCAAGAAGTGGGATGTTTGTCTCATCTTTGGAATTCCAAGTTGGCTCATGCCTTTACGTGACCGCAGCGGTCAAAGCAGCCAGCCATTTCGGCAGGGCACAAGGTGACCACAGCGGTCAAAGCCAGTTTAAGGTTCATTGGAACCTGTGGAGAACTTAGCCCCCCTTCTCCCCCTTCCCTCCCTCTTTCTCTCTTTGCTTTCTGGGGTTTTCCTGAATGTAATACTCAGGATCTCCCCTTTCTTTCTTTGGTGTGTCCCTGGACGATTGTTCGTAGCTGGGAACACCTTCCTTTCTCTCCTCTCCCTTTCTCTCCCTCTCTCTTTCTTTCCTTCTCTTTTTCCTCTCTTCGCCCTCTTCCTTGGGCGTCCCTGGATGCTTTCGTCATAGCTGGGAGCCCTTCCTTTTTGGTGTGTCCTTGGACGCTTGTGCCGTAGCTGGGAACACCTTTGCTTCCTTCTCTCCCTCCTTCTCTCTTCCTCCTCCCCTCCCCCTCTTTCCTCGCGCGTGGCGTATTTACAAGCAAACTAGGCTTCTGCAACAGGTTTCTCAATGAGGTTTGGACTGTCATCGGTTTGTTCCCTTTCACTTGGTTCCCCTTTCATCCGCCCGCACAGACGTTTTTTTTCCTTCTTTTCTTTCATGTCCTTCTGTCTTCATGTCTCTTCATCCTCATCCTTTCTTTCTCTTGCGCGCACTATTGTCCGGACCTTAGTTTGTACACATACACGCACGCGTACTCTACTTACAGCTAGGTTCAGGTGGCCCAGGTTCGTTACAATGAGGTTTGGCTCATCGGTTGTCCCTCTTCACTTGGTTCCTTTTCATCGGCAACCACACACACCTTTGTCTGTCTCGTTCTTTTCATTTTCATCTGTCCCTTTTGCGCGCACATGTGCCCACCTCCTTTCCGGGCAGGATGGAGGTCACACATGCCTCCCTTCGGGGGGGCGTGTGTGTGTAACCCTTGTAGTCACAGGGATTCTTTTGAATTGTTTTACTCAGCAGGGGGCATGCGGCCATTACGCAAACGCACGCCAACGAAGCTATGCGTGATGGTGGAAGCCAGGTCTGATCAACCTGGTGTACCTGCTCTGGAGAACCTACGTATGGCAAAAGCTGTCTCAGTCTTTGTTGTGCACTAAGCGGCTAATGCAGTGTTTTCTGCACGCACGTCGTCACCTTGTCGTTCGCTCGATCGATGTTTTCTTTTGGAGTTGCTGGCCACCTGCAACCTTCGGGACCTCTGCTAGCTGGACCCCCACTTCCTTTTAGGTTTCCTTACTTGTTCCCTTAGGAATTGGAACCCTAGGCCGGCGTGTGGCACCGCTTTCAGTTCAGTACACCCTATCCTAAGTGTGTGATATAAGCAGAAAGTCGTCTCTAGATGCATTGGGGTCCAGAGAGGAGATGGTGGTGATGAAGGTGGAGATCGTGGTGATGGTGAGTGAGTGAGTGAGTGAGAGTGAGTGTGAGTGCGAGTGTGAGTGAGAGTGAAGGTGGGTGAGTGAGTGTGGGTGAGAGTGAGAGTGAGAGTGAGTGAGAGTGTGAGTGCGAGAGTGAGAGTGAGTGTGAGTGAGTTTGTGAGTGAGTGTGAGAGTGAGTGTGAGTGAGAGTGAGTGTGGATGAGAGTGAGTGTGAGTGAGCATGAGTGAGTGTGAGCGCGAGTGCGAGTGAGAGTGAGTGTGAATGTGAGTGAGAGTAAGTGTGAGCGAGGCGAGAGTGAGCGAGTGAGTGGGAGTGCGAGTGTGAGTGTGTGTGTATGGGTGAGTGTGAGTGTGAATGAGTGAGGTGAGCGAGTGAGAGTATAGGTGTGAGTGTGAGAGTGTGAGCGAGAGCGAGGTGAGCATCTGAGAGCACAAAGCGCTGCGCCTGCCACGAAATCTGCACTTCGAGGTTCACAACGTGTTGCGCCTGCCAGGAAATCTACACGTCGAGGTTCACAAAGTACTGCGCCTGCCACGAAATCTGCGCTTCCAGGTTCACACAGTAGCGCGCCTGCCACGAAATCTGCACTTCGAGGTTCGCAAAGTGCTGCGGCTGCGCTTGTCGCGAAATCTGCGCGTCGAGGTTCACAAAGTGCACTGGTCTGCATCCCTCAACGCGCTCCCACTGAACACCGGGCTTGCAAGATAGAAACCCGAGTCCTTCTAGCGTGTGCTTATTTGGTGGGCCTCGCGCTGGAGCGCAATATCTGGACCGCTTTGGGGCACCCGCGCGACCCTGGTATTGATCCCTTTCCTTCTGCGTTCCATCCACCGGTAGCTGATTTGTTACGCAAGTTTGGGGCTCGAGATGTGTACCTGGATCAATGTCAATTTGGGGGACCTGCGCGAAGACCGACCCAGATGTTAGTTGGACCGGCGCCCACTTTTTTCCAGCATTTACAGCAGCACTGTGCTCATTTTGTTGGCCACCGACCGCTTATTGGGCCATGTTCTGGTGGGCATTATCGCACTATCCCACGCCCTTATGCGCAGCTCTCGGCCGCTCTACGTGGCACGTCTGGCGTGAGCGCCCTGCAGCGCCGCCCAGGCGTCGCCATGGACACTCCTCTTGGAAATTTGCCTTCCAAGGTGCAGCGTTTTTTGTTTTTTGTTGAGCACCCTGCAGGATCGCAGCCGCCAACAATATCTCGACGCACTTTCCGATTTCAAAACAGAGTTGGAACGCCGTCATCTCCCCTGGTCCTCGTGGGGGGAGGCGCTGCAAGATGAGTGGTTGGGTGAATACATCCTGGAATCTAAAGAGGCCGGGGTGGCGCGGCAAAAGATGGTCATTCTCTGCGCGGCTCTGCGCAAGATCTTCCCTCGTGCAAAGTTTGTCATTGCCAAGCGAGTCTTGGAGGTGTGGCAGCATGAATTACCAGTGAAGCAAGCACCTGCTTGTCCGGCTGAAATTGCCTACGCTTTGGCGGCTTCCGCCTTGATCGTGCGCCAACCAGGTATGGCCATTGCTGTCATGCTGTGTTTTACTGGTTTGCTCCGCGTCTCTGAAGCTCTCGGAGCCACTTGGGACAACTTCTTTTTCTTGGATCACCAGGCCGTCCTGCTCCTGGGGAAGACCAAGCGGGGCATAGACGACCGTGTGGTTTTCACACATTCTCACACACTGGCTTGGCTACTTCGCTACCGCAAACTTTACTATCAGCAGGGTCAACCCTTTGTGCGTGGTATTTCCTATTCCAAATTCCGTTACTGGCTGCGGAAACTCTCTTTGGTTTTGGGGCTGGCTCCTCTCAACCTTACTTCCCATAGCTTTCGTCGGGGCGGTGCTTCTACTATGTTGCAAAACGGGGTTCCGGTCAGCAATATAGCTGTACATGGGCGATGGGCTGGTGAGTCTTCTTGCCGCGAATATTTGCGGCGGGGAGAACTTTACATGCTTCGTCTTCGTACTCAGCTAGACTCCGCCATCTGGAACCGAATTCATGTTTTGTCTTCGTCCTTGTTTTGCCTTCTTACTCTGGAGACCCCGAACTGACGTTACTGCATGGAGGTGGTGGGTGAGGCCTGCGCAGGCCCTTTGTTTGCCAATATGGATACTTTAAGTGCCAGCTGCAGCAAAAGCTGTCTTTAGCTTTCACTTGAGAACTCAGTGGCCAGAGACGTCGTGACGTCACACGAAGCAGGATCCAAATGGATCAACAAACAGTGAATCGAAAACAAGCTGAGGTCTTTGCTGCTGCTTGGAAGAGATTTTCTCATGTCGCCTGGGAAGGGCATCGCACAACACCAAATATCAAGGAAGTTATATACGTCTGTGATGTCGCTGTGCCATGCGGCTTTGCGGGGCCTTGGTGGAAAGTGTGTTTGCGCGGCTCCGTGCCATTGGGAACGAAAAACATGCTTGCGTAAGCGTTGCGTATCGCTGGGAGCGGGATGATTGGCGGTGTCCACGAGGCTTTGTGTCACATCATCGTATCTAGTCAGGGACACACACACACAGTGTGGCGAAATTGCGTCAGTGATGTTGTTGTCACATGCAGTTTTTTTGCAGCCTCCGTGGACAGTTGTGGCTCCATGACATTGGGAGACGAAAGACATGCGTGCGTAAACGCGGCGTGTCGCTGGGGAGCAGGATGGGTGTACACACCAGCGGACGATACGACAAGTAAGAATATGCGTGATCCACACCGTTGATACAAGATAGAGACATACATACTGAACAACAACAGGACTTGTACATACGCATGTGTTTCAACGCCCCAGGCCCATTCGTCGTCTAGTTTTAAGTTGCCCTGTGCAAATCTCAACAAGCTTCATAAAGTGCTGGACATCCTTTGCCCACACTTCGTGGGCGAAGCGGTTCGGAGCGGCCTCTGGGTCGTCCTCTGTGTATCGAGTCCAGGACTCATATGAATTGCGATATCCAAAATTCCTGAGTGCAAATCATATTGCATCATATTGCCAAACTATTCATGGCAACCAGTCTAGTGAAATGCTTGAAAAATTACAGTAAACAAGGGCACTGAGCAAACCTTCACTTAGGCCAACTACGGGAAAAATTGCAAGCAGCATGTCGTGGGAGCCAAGACCTGATCTAGCCAGCTTTGTCTCACCTGTCTCACCCTCACACCCCTTTGAATTCTTGCCCAAATTCTTGCCCGCAGTACCGTCTTCAATTCTGAACCAAACAAGGCAATCCAGCGTGATCTCTGGGACTGACTAAATAGTGCCAAATGCGGGATTAGGTCCGGTAATTGGCATCTGAGACACTCCTCAGCGGTCCATTGTGCGCCAAAATCTGGTTCTGCTTCTTCAATCCTTGGCTGCTGCTGAAGCCGCTGGGCAATCCAGGCTGTGCAAGTGAAATTGTTCCTCAAAGAAATCTCTCTCTCTCTCTCTGCCTCTCTCTGGAGCTCTATGCATTGAAAGGCAGTTTGGAGAACGCCTTACAGCAAACAGTACTATTATGAGAAGTCTCGATAATGCTTGGGCTAAGCGACCACGCCATGCCCGTCTCAGAATTTGCTTAAATAGCTCCATGCACAAAATTTGTGAAGTTCAACGCTCAGAACAGAAAAGACTGCCATTAAGCAGTCAAAGCAGGTGTCGCTTTGCGCTTATTGATGCCTCTCCTGTACTCAGAACTCTTTGTGTCGCGGGGCTGAATCTCTTGCAGCTCTGGCTGTTGGAATCGAACATTCTCCAGGGCCAAATCGGCCGGCTTCAGCGACGGCTGCACCAAAGCAATTCCGAAGATCGCACCTGTCTCCTCACCACTATCCGGTGGAGCAAAAACTGGATCCACTCAGCAAAAGTGGAACGCTTACACATCAACTCGACTGTTTGATCTACTGACGGCTCTTTTCCAATCAAACGTTTAGAAGGCGTTTTGCACCTGTAGTGGACCTATCATGAGTGCTTACAACCATTCCAATAGCTTCCTGAGCCACTGAACACGGGAAAGCTACACTTCAACACCAACCAATATACTTTGTGATACTGAGAAACAAGCCATTCATTAGCTTCATTCTGTTCTTGCTAACAAATGACCATGTATTATGAACATTGTGTACAGCACACACGTCAGAAAACTTCTCGGAGGATCTCCCTCAACTGCCGCCGGGCAAAGAAAGGCAAACCGGCGAATCACAACTTTGGAGACAAACAACTTTCTCGACTTGCTTTATGAGTAAGCATTGAATTGTGGACACCCCGGCTCCTCTGCCATGGCGGGATACTTTCGGCTTTCAAACACAAAACTCCTGCAGAAACGTCACACCTATCGCGCAAAAGTTTGCCCAACATGCCCACGCATTCCTGAACCCGAATGACATGAAGCTTGTATTGTAGTGAAGTACTAGGGAGTAGATTGCTGCTGGATTGTAAGTAAGATGTCGTAAGCTGGCTTGCGCGCGTAAGGAAGCAAACAAGTATGTGCCAAGACCCGGCAAACATGTTTTTTTGCCACTGGCAGTCGCACCTGGCAGTCTTTGAGCACTTCAGACAAACACTGTGACCTCACATTCGGCCCAGGCGCCTAGTCAAACAGCGGGATAAGGTCCTGTGTGTAGTGTGTGTCAACCTGTGCCAGGAAGAAGAACCACTGAGTCAAACTGAGTGCTTGGGTAAAGCCTGTGCAGCCTCAAGGCCAGCGAAAGCTGAAGGTTCAAAATCGTTGTGCCATCTGTGGCACACACGGTGCAACGAGCATCACACCGTTTTGGTGCATCCCGGTGCAAATTAGGCTCCAAATTGTTTTGGTGCGATAGGGAGCTTGATCGAGCTGTCGTAGTCGGAGAGTATCCTCCCAGCTAGAAATTGAATGAGATTGGTTTCAACTTGGTTGGTGGGAGACCCCACGCTGGCTCTCGATCTAGCAACAAAGCACGCTTGCAGGTTGGCAAACACACCTTCCAATATTGTCCAATGTCTCTTGTAAAGTTAGTGCAATCAAACTTGATTAGGTTTTCAGAGTGAGGAATGATGTGAAAGTTGTGGAAAGGCAACAAGTAGGCTGCTGACTGCATGTTGCATCTAAAGTCGGCTTAACGAAGTGAGATCGGTGTCCCTTGCATTCCAGTACTATTTTCTCTTGGGCGGCAAGTGCTGCCAGTTGCTAGCCGCTTACCATTCTGGCAAGGGTTGCTCCCAAACTGACCACAGGACCTCACAGTATACGGCAGTTTGCTACTGGATGACCTGTACATGATTCCTTTGATGTCTTTTATTTGCGTCTCTGACTCAGACTGACTATGACTTCTCTTTGATGGGCATGTCTGGAATGTCTCACGCCAAACCTGCTTCTATCGCCCCAGGCTGCACGCTCATTTCTTCGGCTTGGCCTGTGCCCTCAACAAGAAACAAACATGTCACGGGTTGTGCTTCTGTTGATGCCAAACTAATGCCAACTTCTGACAACAATGTGGCCACTGAGGTTGTGTTTCGGGCCCTGACTTGTTGGTGGCCGTGGCGGCTTTGCCCTTCTCAGCGGCCTTCACAAAACAAGAGACTAATTCGGGGCTAACTTGGAACGCAAACAATCGGAAACAGCAAGTCATGTACAGTAAAAACTGTCAAATCATCATCTTGAGGCCATTCTGCAGGTCGCAGCTTCTCAATTTAAAGGCTCTTATACAATTTCCATCAATTTGCATAAATTTGCACTGTGTCCATCTGCTTCCACACCTTCTGCGGAGTTCCTCTTTCAACAGCTCACTCCAGCAAGACTCCGTGTTTTTCTCCTTTTTTTGTCCGCAATGCAAGACCTAAGTGGTCACAAACTTTAAACCAATACGTGCAGAAAAACACGTGTTTCGAGGCCCCCTGCCTCGGCCCCCCCCAACTCTCCCCTGCCTAAGCCGGGGTCTGAGAGTGAGCCATGGTCGCAGGCCCCGCCTACCCGGGGGACATCTGGGCCACCGCCCTCTCGATCTCGCTGATCTCTCATCTTTTCCGCCGGCGGTGTGTATTCGAAAGAACTATTTGTGGTGTTTCTTCTTGGTGTGTTTCGGCTTCTTTCCACTCTCCCCTGGCCTCCCCATTGCATGGGGGAAGCTCAAGGGTTTGGAGCGGTGATATCAAACACTTGGTAAATTGTCGGGAGTACGCTTTGGCTGGCGCATGGAGTTCGGCAAACGCAGCCCGGGCCCTCATTAATGTAGATGCGTGCCGTCTTTGACGACGCCCATCTCCCCTGCACTAGGAGACGGTCCAACGACCCATGTCTGCCAAAGTACATTGTCGCACCTCCTCGGCGAAGGCTGTAGGGGCGAAAGTCATACCCCCCAGCTGACAAGCTTCTAATGCGTCGTTAAAGGTCTTCCTCTAAGTGTGAGCTGTTCCACAAAGCTGTTCCACAAAGTAGGGAAGGAGTTCCAGGTGTGTTGAGCCATTGCCAAAGCCTACGAAGGGTCTCCTTCTCCCGGATTCTTATACTTTCCGAGGCTCCGGCCCGCTTGCCTCCTTTGGTCATGCCTAGGCAAATGACAGGTGGTCCGACTTGCGAAATATGGGACTTTCGGATACCAAGTAGCCCCCGGGTGCGTAGGAGCCCGTGCAGTGAGAGTCCGAAGAGACTGTTGCTTGAAAACAGGGAGTACCCAACAAGGACATGAAGGGCCTCAACTGGCAATGGCGGCGCTCGCACTGCTGGCTGCTGGTCCTGCACGGAGGTAGTCATGGCCTGCCGCATCCTGCGGGAAGGTCCGGTTCTCATCCTTCAGGAACTTCTTGTACTTTTCCAAGGCTTTATTGTAGCGATCTCCAGTCTTGCTCTGCACCGTGAGGTTTTTGAGTGGGCCTAACGCTCTTCTCTGCGCCTTTCTTTCTGCTTCACTTCTACCTTCGAGATGGGCTGTCTTCTTCCTCACCATTTCTTCCGAACAGGCCGCCGAGACAGCCGATCTGCTGGGTTCTGTGAAGTATGGACACACCTCCCTGATTTCCCGACGCTAGAAGTAGAGCGTCTATGCGACAAAGCGTCCTCCTCATTCCTGCTGCTGCTTCGTCCGCGAGACAGAGAATGTATATAGGCACACCAGACTATCGATCATATGAATGAATTTCGAATGAAAGGTCTTCTTCTGCGTGATTCGCCACCTGAGAGTGGTAAGCACAGTCCAGTGCCAGCCAGTGATGGTCTTCCAATTCCAGAGGGAGGCAGGCAAGCTCGCGCGCAAACGATGGTAACGCAAGGTCTCTTCTGACCGAGCTTGAATCATGATGTCTTTGCCTTTCAGACTCACCAGGTTCAGGAGCTTCTCCACAAGACGCTGCTCCTGAAGAGCTTGGGAACCCTATGATCACTTCTCTCTCGGTGATGTTCGGAAGTCGATCTCTTCCGCTTGGGTCCGTGATGGGGGGAAACGAAAACGACCCCGCTGCCACGCCTCAAGCTCCTGCTCACGCAAAGTCTCAAGTCCTGCCACCTTCCTCCCCGGACTATCGCTTCACCTCGAAGTCGTAAAGGTTGGGAGCGGGTCTTGAGAAGTCCTCACGCACCCAGGCATGAGGTACAGTCCAGGGTCCACCTCAGCTTTCAATTCAATTGCCCGGCGCCGAGCACTCCCCGATCCTATAGGAGGCTGGCTGCGTCAATGCAAAGTGGGGTGTCTCCAAAGGACGCTATCATCACACTCCTGTCTTCTTCATCCATGCTCATGACACTCTCTGCCAAATACCGCACCTGTGCCCATGGAAAATGAAGCTTAACCAGGTCTCAAATCCGCGTCGCATGGCTGAACAAGGAGCTGGATCACGGAGAGCGCCTCGACGGTTGGCGTTCAGCCCGCTCACTCCTTGGCGCGGTGGGCCTGCGCCGATCAGCGCGACTGATGCCTGGGAGTAACGGCATGCCCACGAGCGAACCATCTCCTCATTCACGTCCTCAACTCCCTCATCTGCCCGTGTGCCTCAGCTGCTGCCTGCCCAAAGCCTGTCAGTCCTGTACTGCTGTAGTCAAGCCTCCCCGTACAGGAGGCGCTGCTAGCCGTGACCCCCCCATTGACCAGGAGGCGGAAGTTCACTTGGCCAGAGGCATCAGGCAGGCAAACCTCGAGATTTCCAACTTAACTCCGGCCTGGATGGAAAGCTTGATGAATGGAGGATATCCTCGGAAACACTCAATCAATGAATCGCCAAAGCAGGTTCAGGCAGCCAAGCAAAGGCCCACGGAACATGCTGTAGACTAGGCCTCCAGCCAGAACCTGAGCCTGCTTCTGGTTGCATGCCTCCTTTGTAAACTTTCACCAGCTTGGGGTAGGCTATTCCCGCCTGCCCGTCGATAATTGCTCCCTGGACCTCCGCTTGCAGCGAGCGAGACACTGCTTTGTTTGGGTGCCGGGGTGTACCCCATTCCTCATATACTCGCATACTCGGCCCTCAACGCCAGAAGGGCTGGGCTGGACTCCCCTTGTAGGAGCTGAGCGGTCTTCTTGTCCATCTTCTCGACGAAATCAAAACAATTGTCTAGGTACACCCTGTGGAGCGTGGGTGATCCGGAAAATGGTCGATCCTTGCGGATCTTACTCGAGGCATGCTCGAAGACCAGCTCGACGAATGATGTTGCGGTGAACGTGTTGCGCCAGGCTCACTGAGTTCTTGAATCCCGTTGGAAGTACCTGAGAAGCAAGGTAGTACGGACCGTCTGCAGTGCGAGGCAATACCTTGTTGAAGGCAAGGAGTTTGGCACTCTCCGGGGACCCGAAGGATATAGAAAAAGCACCTTTATGACCTCACCCTGAAGCTTTGTGGGGTAGAAAGAGTTCTCAACAGCCTTGCCCAAAAAATTATTCAACGCGCAACACATCCCTCTCACCATCACCACTTCTGCTCAGGCGCCTCCACCATCCGCTGGAGGTAGAACGCTGGTGGGCAACGGGAAGATGTCGCCCTTGGGCTGGGCCTTGCATTGCAGGTCAACACCGGTCTTCACACATGAACGAACCAACATGCTCACCAACCATGGGATGGCTTCGGCAAAACTGTCTCCTGCGCCCGGCGGTTTCATGCAAACTTTTTCAAGCGAGGCAAGATGGTGGCAGGGAAGTGGCCAGAGTACACGGCCTCACATCTGCCTCTGCTGTACTTATAGTCGCCCCCCGCATCGATGTGATGTTCAGGGACCATCAACTTTTGGAGAAATCTGCGGACTTGCGTCCCGGTCCACCCTCCTAACCTCCGACCAGGAGGCCCTCTTCGTCCAGCTCGCCTCAAATCTTGGTGGCATTGAAATAGAAGAAAGGGTCAACGACCCCCTGGGTCCTCAAAGTAATGCATCTCCCTCTTCTTCACGCCCTTGTTCACTCCGTAGTAACAAGCTGGATCAAGCTTCCAAGACCTGATGGGTCCTTGCCAGTAGCGTCCAGTCGGCCTCTGCTTGGCCTTAGCCACAGGTGGCCGCTTCGGGGCCTTTGGTGGCGACCTCGATGGCGTGTGCGGCGGCTTGACACTGGGCTTAGCTTTCTTCTCCTTCTCAACGGGTCCCTTCTCTCGAGGTGTCTTGTGACGCTCCTCTCCGTCTCCTGCCTTGGTGACTCTTCGATCTATCGCGTCGTCGACGACTGGGACTCCTTCTCGATGAGCGCTCCTTGGATGAGCGGTGCCTCTTCTTCTCCTTGTCCACTTTAGAGCCGCTGGAGTGTTTGCCTTCCTCCTCAAGTCTTCTACCTCAACTAGCCCGGGCTTCGCGGCAAAGAGGCTGTTGCCTCTCTCCTCTTTGGGTTTCACCCAGCTCTTGTCCACCCTGTCGTCTGCTCGGCTATCAAAGCTCCTCTTCAATGATGCTAGTCCAGATCCGAAGATTCTGTAGCCCCCACCCTCGACTTCTCACTGGGAGGGTGTCCAACGAACGCCAAAGCCGATCACGCGCCCGGCAGAAACCACAAACGGGGTCTGTGTCCGTACACTGAATGGAACACAAACGACACGGGTGCATGCCCTTTGAGCCCAAACACTATGGGCAAAACAGGATACGAACGGTCGTCTTAATATCCGGGGCCAGAAGTACATATATGTGGAACCTCTCCGCTTCCCGCCTTTGACTCCTTCCCCGTCTTGCCATTTTTGGCCTTCGTTTCCACCTCATGCGGGACAACCACATGCTTTCTCCAGAAGTCCACCACACAACTTGCTGTCCTACCAATAGTTCTGTCTGGAATTGGAACCAACTGTTCGAGGACGACTTCTATAGGCACTTATGGACAAAATGAACCGTGTAAGTGTTTGCAATTCATCCGTTCAGGGTTGACAATTCCCAGACATCAGCATGCAGTCAATCTTGTCACTTGTCAAAAGGTGAATGATTCGTTGTGAAAAGGGCACCAGTGTCCCGACACACTCCTGTTACTGTAAACTTGTAGAACTTTAGCATCACCCGTCTATTTGCACACGATTATCAACTTGTTTGTGCTTGAACTCTTCCAGTCAAAGCCATAAAGCACAAGTCCGCAAAACCATCAAAGTAACTATTTATCATGGAAGTGTCTGAAAATGTCTGAACCAATGACTTGATGCCACCTGAGCCTTCTTCCGCAAGCAGCGGCATCCGCAACAGCACCTCAACATGCAAACGAACAGCGAGGCACCTTCGTGCCTGTCATGGTCCAACACAAATACTGCATGTGTTTGATTGTTCCTGATGCGCACAACATGTTACTTTCAACCTCGTTTGGATGATATCTCCCGTTGCAGGAGGGTCATCCTGCACTTGTGGACGCATTGCGAGCTTTCAACAAACAACATGTTACAGATTCCTTGGCCAATTTGCAGGTTCATCCATCAAATGTGTCTTCCTATGCTGCAAAGGTCGCGTATACCGTATAAGTAAGTGTATAACCAAATCATATGAACTGCTTTGATGACGACAACAAGTGCCACGTTGGAACGGTCCTTTCCCCCTCTAAACTTGGCTCACGAATGGTCTTACCCCTCACGTGGCCCACACTATGTTGGAACGGTTCCTTTCTCTTCTAAATTCTACCCTCGTGTGGCTCAGAAAAGCTATGCTCCATTGGAATGGCCTTTTCCTTCTCCAGATTTGAGCCTTGCATCGGTCACAAAAGGTATGCTAAGCTGGAATGGTTGCATCCCTTGAAGTTTTGTTTACTCTCGGGTGGCTCACAAGATGTTTGCTACGTTGGGGTGGTTCCTTCCTCTAAATTTTCAGGCGGTCAAATAAGGTAGGCTATGTTGGAACGGAATGGCTCTTTCATCTTCAAGCTTCTCCTCGATCGGCCCACAAAAGGTAATTAAGCATGCTAAGTACAAGTCTAGGTTGAAATGACCAAAATTTGCTACATTGGAATGGCTTCTTCCCCCCAAAAAATAACTGAGGTTTCAGCATGATGCTGTGCAGTCCACTCAGAACAGTTCGTCGAAGGATGTGTGACACGGAAGTTTCCGAGGTGCAGAAATGTCTTCACGTTTCTTCGTGTCTGGTGGAGGCATCCAGAACCTGAATGCTTGAACGGCCTGACACCTTGAAGATCGGCTCTTGGCATTCACATCACAGCACCTAACAGCACCTATAGCCTACGTAATTAGGGTTCCAAACTTGAAGGCGGCATTCTGAACACAAAGGCTTCCAAGATGGCAGCGCTCAGGGTTCCAAGGTTCCAGGGTTGCATCAGACAGCACCCACGGTTCCAAGCAAGGGTTCCAACACAAACAACACCAAGGGTTGCAGGGAGGAATTCCGGATTTCTCCCAGCCCCGCAGATCGAAGGCGAACATTGCCCAACTGAACTCTGCTGATTTTCTGGCAGGCCAGAAGATAGGAATAACCAGTGCAGATTTCGTGGCGCGGGGTTGGGGGGAGGGCACAACGCCCCCGCACCGTCGGGGGATAATAAGTGCTCCTGGGTGTCAAAAACAATTAAAACCATGTTCCTGGAATTGACTTGTAGGTGTAGGTTGTTTTAACGGGTTTCCAATACCATACCCGATTTTTTCAAGCCAGGGTTACAAACACATATGCCAGGTCAGAAAAGAAGGGTTTTGTCAAAAAAACGGATCACAGGTTAAACCATAGCCTGCCTGTGCTACTGTTGCTGCCAAGTTACTCAAAAAAGTGTCTACAGGGATGATTGGCGATTGGCTTTCTGGCTTCATGACGTCAACTCGTTGATTTTGTCTTGCTTCATGACCAAACTGTGCGACTCACTTTCCATCAGTGCTTTGTGGTGGTGCTATGATCCGGCAATCACCGTAGGCAAACTGGGCTCTGGCACAGGCAGCAAAGGATCCCAGAAGCCATCCACAAGCTAACCATACAGATCTTGAAAATGAAGTACCTGTCGGGAGCCAATCGATGACAATACCTGGACGCTACTAGGGCTCCTGGCATCGCTACTAGGAGCAAGGAGGCTACTAGGAGCTTTAGCATGAAAAAAACATCCATTTATCACCCGCCTTCCAATCAGTGGTCAACATCGGCATTGAGGCAAGGAACCCTACTGCAAAGTACATCCCAGAAACCAGTGTGTTTAAAAGAACGCATAGACACACTAACCTTTTGGTGCCTTGTATGGCTCAAGAGGGATTTTCATATCATCTGTGAGCCTCCAAGTAATATCATGTCATCAAGCCAACTCCATGCCCAAATGACTCGAAGGCGGGGATCAACACAACAATTTGTTGTAACTGATCTGATTGCTGCCCCATCATACCAAGGTATATCTACCTTTGTCACTTGATACATTGTGACGCCAAGAACGCTCTTCGCAACGAACTGGATCCAGGAGCGCACAGGACCGAGAAGATGTAGAGCACGAACAAGAGCAAGTTCATGGGTGTCTTGGTGCAATCGTAAAGCCGGTCACAGCAAAACGACAAAGGGGCTCCCATCCACTTTGACAAAGGCAAGACAAGGTCAAAGTGAATGTCCGTTTAGCATCGAGAATCGTTTAATCATTAACCTGACATTCGAGATACCCGGGTATACAATCCTTTCCTGTTCACAAGTGACAACGGCTGAAGGCAGGCTGAAGCCTCTAAAGGTATCATTCAGCATCATCTCATTTCCAACCTCTGAGGCTGAAGCTCTGGAGATAAGGCCAGTGTATTTCGGAAGGGCCTCAATCCCCGCGCAGTAGGACCAGTGGTTCAATTTGACTTAAAAATAATCCAGTGAAGGCACAAAAGTCGATTACAGTAATGTTTGTTGTATAATCCAGAGTGGAAGGATCTCCTCATCTTGACGGTCACATGTTTCTTTTTCAAGGCTTTGAAGGGCCCTCTGTGAGCATATATCTCTTGACATTCATGTTCATGAGAGACCAAACAGTAGCTTCAATAAAGTATATAAGAAAGTCGCAGCACACTTGTGCAAGCGGTTGTTGACAACTGATGGATGGCCCCTGAAACCTCTGCCACATTTGTGTGAGATATGAAGAACCTTGTCAAGCCTGAAAGACCTGCTCCGGCAGCAGGGCTCATCTGCAACAATAGCTTGGCAAAAATGGCGAGAAGTAAACACCATGTAGGTTAGGAATGTCTGGACATTGGGCGCATATCCAACCGATACTCCAAGACTCGGACAGTTTCGAAAGAATCGATGATAAAGTGGGTATATCGATTCAGGAGCCTCAGCGGCATGCGAGTTGAGGTCAAACACCTTCACAATGTGCTATATCGAAAAGGAATTGTTCAAAAAGAGCCAGGAGAACGAGTCTGGCTGCTTTGATGGCAAGAAGCATTCTTAAACTAAATCTGGCGGAGGCCAACGACTTGCCGCAAGCTGCGACTCAAATACCCTTCCGGGACTTATTTCAAAGCCACATCTACACGATCTTCCAAACTGTACTCTTGATTATCCTGACTAGCTTGGCATTACTGTGTCTGGCAAATTCGCAAGCAAACACAACTGGAAACAATCTGGACAAACTGCAAGACGAGGTGGTCCAAGGGCAGGTCTGTACCAGCACAACCCCCTTGTGCTCAACGCCTCATTGTTAAAGCCTTTTGGACACGTCGCACGGTGAAAATTGGTGGCCGCTGCTGCAGCGGAAGTCGATCATATTGTTGAAATCATGATCCACGGGCTGACTTGTCACACACACATATATCATATATCACGTATTGCTATAATATCATACAAGTTGCATCAACTTATATGTACATTCATATAAAGTACCTTGGCAGTGGCAGGTTTACTTCACACAAAAGTGATTATATAAAAGTGTGAGGTGGAGTGATCAAGCAGCCGTGGCTTTGGGGACACAAGCATGACAACCGCTGCCACACCCGGAATCCGAAAATGGCATTGAGAGTCAAACTTGGAGCAACAGCTTTCAGGTTGTTGAAGAGTCATTTTTGCTCGAGGTTGAACTTCACTTCAGAACCTTTAGTATGACGGCTTGAGGAATCGGTTTTGTGACTTCAGCGCGGCCTGAGAGCCTGAGGGTTCTCATGAACGCGCTCAGATCAACTAGGTAACTAGGCTGCGAGTTTATTTGCCCTTCTCTTCAAGCTCTTCTCACATGCCCTTGATGATCTTGGCCTTGGATCCATCTAGTGCAAAGCTGGGTCGGATGAAAACTCACTTGACTTCATGCACGCTTCTCTTCAAGTAGAAAAACAAACTGAGTGATCAGTGATAATGTTCCAGGTTGACAACCTGGGCTATCAAGATTGCAGTATTCAATGACCAACTTTGGCAAAAAAGGTTCGGTTCTGCATACGGTCTGCTATCAATCTCGATGTGCCGAAAACACCTCTACAAAAGAAGGCAACATGGCCCGGCTTACAGCGAGTTGTCACTTGGTCAAAGGTCGTTATGCCAAAACCGATGAGGCCTCCTATCTTGTTGAACTTTGAGTTCTGCGAGTGGTCTCGATTGAATTCAATAGATTCGATTGTGCTCCAACTCAGCTCGGGACTCCCATCTTGCTCATTAGTCGATCGCCCACAGCCTGACGTCCAGCTGCGAGGCAGGAAGGCAAGGAAAACAAGGATCCGGGCCCCGGCACAAGGAGTTGGAAGGAGGAAATTCGACTGCATGAGGTGACACATGACTCACGCAAACAAACTTTTGCCATAGTGCACTTTGCATCTATGTAATGCCCTTACGCCCCTCAGTTGCAGGGCAAACATTTTCTAGATTTTCCCCAAGCAGTGTGGACACACTAAGGGCTCTTACGGTAAATGTTAAGCACCGGTGCCTGGTCGAGGTGTTGCACCGGGGCGTCCGTCTTACTCGCTGCTATTTACAGTGCACTCATGCCTCTCGAAATCGTCGAAGTGCATTTCGACTGCGCAGGCTCGCAAAATCTGCGTGGGCGCGGCGGGTGCTTCTCGCGACTGCGCTCTCGTTGTGGTGCCGTGCGCATTTTCGGACTGGTGGTCACCTTTCGTGGCAGGCGCAAGGGAAGCCTCGTGCTATGGCGGTCCAAAGTCGCCTTTTCGTGACCGGCGCAAGGGATCGGAGCGGTTTTACTTCAAAGTGCAGATTTCGTGGCAAGTGCAGCACTTTGGACATGGTGGTGATCTTCGACGCGCTCTGATTTCGTGACAGGTGCAGTGAATCGTGACTACTCAACTATTCTACCTGTGGCAGGTTTTCAGAAATCAGTACTTTGTGGACCTTGAAGTGCAGGTTTCGTGGCAGGCGCAGCACTTTGTGAACCTCGAAGTGCAGATTTTGTAGCAGGCACAGCACTTTGTGAACCTCGAATGCGACAGGCGCAGCACTTTGTGAACCTCAAAGTGCAAATTTCGTGGCAGGCTTGTGCTCTCACCAGATGCTCACTCTCACGATCACACACGCTCACGCTCACGCTCACGCTCACACTCACTCTCACCCACGCTCACGCTCACTCTCGCTCACGCTCTCCACTCACACTCTGTCACTCACTCGTCAATCACTCTCACTCTCACTCTCACTCTCTCTGTCTCTCTCCCACTCTCTCTTCCACTCTCACTCACTCACTCACTCACTCACTCACTCACTCCACTCACTCACACACACACCCTCACTCTCACGCTCACTCCCACTCCCACTCCTCTCACTCTCACTCACTCCACTCACCTCACTCACTCCACTCACCTCACCTCACCTCACCTCACCTCACCTCACCACCTCTCTAGATCTCTAGACTTTCTGCTGCTACACCTCTAGACCTCACACACACTGTTTGGGGTGGTCTCTTGCCGGGATAATTTCTAGTATAGGCAGGTTCTCTTGTTGTCTGTCAACTCAAAAGGGAGATGAGCTATGCTCATGCTCATCGTGCATGTTTCTGAGGTTGCCGTAGTCAGTTCTACAACCTCCCGTGCCTCGTCGTCGTCGGCCATCGTCCCTCGGAACCTGGAACTTCTTGGAGATCAAATGTTTGGACTTGAAGCTTGAAGATCGAATCTCATCGAATGTCTCGGATTGGATGAGTTTCGGAAGGGTCATGCCCCCTGCTGTCAAGTCTGTGAAGCATCAACAAAATTCATGAAAGTCCATGCTAGGCAGGGGAGAACACACCCCTACCAGGGCAACAGGCCCCACAGGCTCATCCACGGGCCCGCCGGGCTTCACAGGCCCACGGGGCTTCACGGGCCCACGCTCTGACGGGTCCACTCCATGGATCGGGCCGCACAGGCCCGCTAGGGCGTCTAATCGCTGACAAGCAACGTACCTACCGATTGTTGCTTCTCCATCTTGGCCATCTCCTCATTCACCAAATCATCCAGCTTTGCCTTGGGCATTGGGCGTGTGACATTTGCACCCCCAAGCATCTACCAGAAGGTCCAGAAGGAAAAACAATCCACAAAAGCCCATGCGGATTCAGGCTCCAATCTGTTGCTTGCAATCGGCTACCCTTCAGACCTGCGTTGATAAACAAGCCCAAATTTGTTGAGACAATTAGTGATTAGTGTGCACCCACACAACACGGATTGCCAACCCAGATTGCACTTCAAGATCTTGCTGTTGTTACAACGTGTTCAAAGTATGCTAGGAACGACATGGAACAACGACTTGCTTGGACTGGCCTGACTGTAGGCCAGATTGCTTTTCAGGTCGTCCTTGGTTTCAGGCCTCACCTGACACGGAGCTGACGAGACAGGACAAGAATCAGGCAGGGCCTTGCTTGTAACAATGGCCGCAAATGCTGGACTCACGAGTCTGCCCAAAGAAACACTTCAAAGTTCAGGCAAGTGTATTAATGTGTTGACGAGATGAAGTTTCAGCCAGTAATTAAACCTGTAGAGAATGATTTCCTTTTGCATTTTTGTTGCTAAAATATAAACAGGTATATATATATAAATACTTTGATCACTTGCAGAACTTTGCAGCCAAATCCTGTATTTACTGTGACTGACACAAGTGGAATCCGCCGTTGAACAAAATCCGCCGTTGTGACCTTAGAAATGTGCGGAAGACTTTTTGCAGAGCGTTTCCACATATTCATGAGTAAATATAGTATCATAACTTATTAATTCATACGTGTCTAAGCTTTCTGAAGGCTGCAGTGTTTAATGTTCAACGTCTAGAGCTAGCCGGCCTTGAACTCTGGCGCCGGCTTTCCGTCAATGACCCAACCCGACTCCTCCGTGCATCACACAAGTGCCTCGAACGCCTTCCCCGGCAAGCACAAAAAAAGATAGTACAAACCTAATAGCGATGGCCTCCAACCTAATAAGCAAACGTCAAGCAATCTCCGCTTGTAGTGACCTTGTTGATGACAGTACTTTAAGGGTCGTGCAAGCCTGGGGCTGAACCCAAGAGCTATTGATGCCGCTAAACAAAGAAGTTGTTATTTTTGCATAGTAAAGCCATTGACGCCAGCCACACTAACGGGAACTTGCAGTTCTTTTAGTTATCTTTAATGTCTAAATTTCTCGTCAGCTTCACACATGTCTAATGCTAAATCGCTTGTGGCCGAGTGATCCACCGTGGGTACATGACAAAAACGCGGCGCATAGTAAAAGCATCTTCCAGACTCTGAGACAGTTTCATTCTCAAGTCAAGTCTTTCATTCTTTCAAATCATCAAGTTGCGAGTCCTTCTTGACGCCGAAGCCATCACAGGACGACTGCCCGGTGAGGGGACAAGGACAAGGATGGCCTTAAGCCTAAAGGGAGTTTGAGAGGGCTTAGGGCCAATGTCGGATTCAAGTGATCAAACCTCAAGCGATCTAAATCTAAAGTCTACCATAGATTATCTGTCTAACGAGAACTCTTCATAAGGAATGAGGGCGATGATGGGCGATGTGCCTTCTGCCTCGGTTCACTTTGGCAATTCCTTCGACAAACCCGAAGATTCCAATTGTCCAGACTGCGTCTGGCCGCTCACCGGCAAACATGCCTCTGATAAGGGCGACCCAAACTGTTTATTAACCTGCAGCTTGTGTGCTGAGTACATTTCCTTCAAAGGATGTCAAACTCACCTTGTCAAAAAAGAAACACAACAGTGCAAGTTGAAGATATTGAAAGGTTGGATTGATGTGGACACTCCTACGTCCTTGAATGCATTTCTCGTATCCCTCAAAGTCTTGAGGTTTGCCCCCCAGTTTTTGATTGCCTCTCAGAAGATGTGTTGCTAGGTATTTAATACACCCGCACTTTGGCGTTCCTGGGATACAAGCTTCGGACGTG